CACACACACACACACACACACACACACACACACGCTGCTCGATAGCATCTCGGGCCGTCTACCCTTAGATGGAGCGAGAAAGCCAGTCAGTGACCCTAGACGGGAGATTTCAGAGGTCACAGGGTGGTGGTGTTTAAGGGGTGTCCATAAATAAAGTCGCCCGCGCAATCGGGATATCTAAAGCTGAAGTCTGGGTTTTTTTTGCTTCAATTCATGTGAACGTCCAGTTTAGTTTTGCATAATGCTGTTAATGACTCTTTGTACGTCTCTCCTCCAGCACTCACTCCCAAACCTTGTCGGTCCAATTTTCGCCTCTCGACCAGTAAAAGAAGTCAGATTTTACAAAATCAACCCAAAGACGCTGACTTAGCTAGCGGTTTCACTCTCTCCTTCTATCACCCAGATAAAGGGCTGTTGCCAACTAGAAAAACCGATTCGAAGATTACTATTAAACGTCATACATGGTCATAAAATGTACGAAATCTGGTGATTATATTTAAATGCCATCAATAACCAAATCGTATAGCCAAAAAAACTACAAAGTCCCATAGGTGCATACGATCCAGCTCTCTGTCGGCTAATGTCTGCCTGCTAAATGTGGCCAAGTGGAAAAGAGGCACACAGCCCAGTGAATCGATAAATGGACAAATTTTACTGTCATGCCGGTGCAGGCAGCTAGCGCGCACGCAGCTGAGAGATGACAAGTTTCTCATGGGAGACTCTATAGTTCATTCACACGCCTTGGTGCTATCTGTTACTGTCTCGAATGATGGGTTGGAGTGGAATTCGACAATCCTGTCTCCCTCTGCTTCATCTGCTTCCTGAAAGACTCGCAAATTTTTATAGACAGATGCAATTGGACAAATCCCCCTGGTCGCATTTCAGCATTAAAATAAAGCTATTGTATGTCAACGTTGGTTGACATTATGGGTGGTGGCAATGACTGGATTCCAGAGGAGGACCTCGCTGGAGGAATTAACGTCTGTCGAAGACTATGTACAAAGACTGAAGGGGGGCGACAGACGGGGGCGGGGGGAGAAAAGGATTACCTGTAGGACATGTTATTGTCCTCACCAGGAGGAAACGGTGGGCCAGTTGGGTTGAGACCGCACAAGACGGAGGAACCGCAATCGTTGCTCGAGGGTTTCTCAGTCGGAAAACGGAAAGACGAGTCGCGTGGCCGGAGAGGATCTAAAA